TTGTCATTACCTCTCCTCTCACAGCATGCATGATGCAGTGAATTGTTAAGAGTGCCAATGAGCACCACTACACGTTTAAGGATGCCCACTGCTATTGAAAATAACAACAATAGGAGTTTGAATAATGATCGTTACAAGATGGAAGAATGTGTTATTATACTTTCATTCTTTGAAAGCAAGGAATTCAGTTTATTACAATATTATACACTAACTTTACAATTTTGCATTCTTTTCAACAAATTCCTTAACGTGTTCTCTTGGAGTGAAATAGAGTGGATTTTTCTTCGAGTCAATATACAGCAATGACTGATCGAAAGAAGTTGGAGGAAGAACTTCTGGATTTTCATGAGATAATTTGAAATGTCTGACAGCATTAATAATACCAAAGTAGAGTTCAGTACTTGCAATACGTGATCCTGGACATTTACGAGCTCCAACTCCAAATCTAAGTATTGTAAACATTCAAATGGTCAATTAGGATGAAATTTTGCAAAAAAACTTACGGAATGGAAACAAAATTATTGACAGGTGCCAAAGGAGATCCCTTTTCATGACGTTCTGGAATGAATTCTTCACCACGTGGAACATATTCATCCTTCATTGTGGCCCATCTTTGCATGGCAATGATAATTGTATCTTTTGGAACTGTATATCCACCAATTTCTGTATCTTGGCTCAATTGTCTTCCCATAGTGAGATAGGAGAAGGAATTTAATCTCAAAACTTCTTCAACAAAGTTTTTAGTGAGCTTGAGCTTTTTGTAATGTTCCTTTGCTATTACAAGTCCATTTTCTGAAGTCATTTCTTCAATGGTTGGTTCACCGAAAATTTCAACACTTTCCTTATAAATCTTTTCCTGATATTCTGGATGGTGAGCAAGTCTGTACAAGCAGTGACCTTTACAATTGGTCAATTGGGACATGAGTTGTGAAAAACTTACATAAAATTCTTACTGTAATATCAATGCCAGCTTGTAAAAAGTTAATCATGACACTTTCAATTCTGGCATTTGCTTGATCTTGATCTTTAGCTCTATTTTCCAATAATTCCAATAATCTTTCCTTTTCGGATGGATTAGTTTTGAATCTCTGAATGCAATATCTTGCAAATTCGTATGATTTATCATAATATGTTTCAAATTCCTTAAATTCCTTGGTTTTGTAAAGTCTGTAGAATGGTGGTTTGTGATCCAACATGATTGCCATATCGAGAACAGAAACTGAATATTTCACAAAGTCACGAATTTCAAATGGAAGAGATTTTGCAATGTCATCAGTCATTTTCACACCCTATTTCATTAAATTACACAATTTCATTAAATTTCAATCGGTCAACTAGAAAAACTTACAAGGAAAACCTTCAAAACAGCATCAAAAGCATATCTTGAAGTAGTGTCAACAGTATTAAGCAATTGATACTTGTCACTTTGAGGAACATGTTTCATATTAGCAACAAGTCTTCTCAAAAATTCACCATTCAATTCAGTCAACTGTGGAATTGTAATATTTTCTTGGAATTCAGGTCTCATGGCAATATTAAACAATTGACGAATTGAATTCCAATCTTCATCAAGTCTCAACTCAACTGGAGAAAGTACCAAACCTCTTGGTTCTTTATAATATCTAGTACTTTCCAATAACTTTCTTCTATCTTCCTTTTTAAACAATTCAGATAACACATATGGATTAGCAATAATCAACATGTTAGTTCCAAACACAGTCAACTTGACTAAATCTCCATATGTATCACACAGGGAAAGAAAATACCCAGAAGGATTGAATGCATTCTTCTTAATGTCAATTAAATTGCCGATCAGTGGCCATGGCTTTGGTCCAGGAACTTGATTCCAAGGTTTGATTTCCTTTATAGTATTGGCAACGTTTTGATGATAGGGACAACCAGCTGTTTGATTTGTTGAATTGTCAGTTTCGACTGTTTGTGCAAGTGTCGAATTTTCCTTGTTATTCGATGTGAAATGTCTTGTTTGAGTGGTGGCAGATGAGATCAATGATTGTGAATTTTTAATAACTGCATTACTACTACTACGTAATAATAAACAACATGTGTTTGAGGTGGAAGTTGTTCTTGTCAAGAGTTTGGAAAACATTTTTTTTTTAGTAGGAAATTAGAGACGGACGGGGAATATATGTGTGATATTATTTGAGATAGTAGATGGAATGTGATGATGATGCGATTAGAGCGAAGAGGAGGAAGAGGAAATGCGATACGTCTTTGCACAAGTTACAAAATAGTTGTAAAGTTTCGGATATCAGTTTCAGAATTTTCAAAGATCAATTATGAAAGTTACTTCAAACTGATTGCACACTTTCAATTATTGTATACTACTTGGGTGTAAATGGGTGGTTAGGGTAAATAGTTTCATTATTCTTTAGTTGCTTTCCTTGTGAAATTCTGAGTCACTAACTTTTCACAAATACGAGGAAGAGTTTTTTCGAACTTTTTGAATAGATGTGTGGAAAGAAGGTTTACTTTCGAATTATACGAATTTTTAGTTCTTCATCTGGTGTTATTCGTGCAGTTTCTTCTGTAGCTGGTGTTGGAAAGGTTTCGTTTAGTTTGATTTTGGTCTTGTTTGTTATTTGGCTTGTCATTGTGATGTTTTAAACAATTAAAGATGAAAATTAAGAAATATTAGAACTTGTTTTTGTAATATATCTCTCAATTAGGACATTATAATATTATTCTATCCGAATCATCACAAGATTCTAATAATAACAACAGATATTATTAAAAAAATTACATGATTAAAGCTTCTTTGAAACAGTTAATATTCAAAGCAACAAAACCTCATCATCTATTAATCAATATTTTTCATCATCCGAAAGTAAACTATTCTTTAAACTATTCTAAAATGTCTTCCGAACAAACTTCCGAATTGAAAAAGTCCATCGAGAAAATTAACGAAGAAATTTTGAAAATTGAAAAAGACTACCAAGAACAAGGTGATTCGAATAAAGTCAAACTAGTCTCTGAATTATCTGAAAGTTATGTGAACAGAGCTACCTTTCACATTGCATTAGAAGATTTCAAAAGTGGAATGGACGACTTAACACAAGCTGTTTTATTCAATCCTGGTAATTCTCAAGCTTGGTTAATGAGAGCTTTGATGAATTTTGAAAAATTTGGAAATTTACAAAAATCCTTGGAAGATTACAATAAGGGAATTGAATTGGATTCAACAAATGTTGTTGCACTCAATAATAGATGTAAAATTTATTTGGAATTGAAAGAGTTTGATAAGGTTTTGAAGGATTCATCTCTTGTTATTGATTTGTTGAAATTGGAGGGAGAATTGGGAGCTACTGTTGAGAATGGTCAATTGGCATATGATCCAAATGAAATGTTCATCAAGGCACATATGAATAGAGTTATTGCATTGATGGGAAAGGGTGAATTTGAAAAGGGATTGAGTGATTTGAGTGAATTAATTAAGAGAATTCCAAAGGATAAATTACCAAAGGAATTGGCAAATGTTTATGTGTATAGAGGATCTCTGTATGAACAATTATCTCAACCAGAGAAGGCCCTTGATGATTTTAATAATGCCATCAAGATTGATGCATCAAATGGAGATGCATGGAGTTCCAGAGCTTTTAGTTATATTGAAAAGGAGGAATATGGAAAAGCAGTGAATGATTTTTCAAAGCTAATTGAAATTGATCCAACCAATGAGTCAAGTTATAGAAAGAGAGGAAATGTTTACATGGTTATGGAAAAATTCGAAGAAGCATTGAAAGATATCAATAAGAGTATTGAACTCACTTCATCCGATGAGAAGCTCAAGTCAGCCCTTGAAGAATCACTCAAAGTAAGAGGTGCCATCTATCAAAATCTTGGAGAATTCTCAAAAGCTATTGAAGATTTCCAAAGAGCCATCGAACTCGAACCAAACAATTATGATGTCCTGATTAGCATTGGAAATTTATATTTGAATGAGGAAAATTTCAATCAAGCTCTTGAATACTATGAAAAAGCTCAAACTTTGCAACCATCTGAAGAATTATCCAAATTAATTGAAAAGATTAAGAGTGGAGAGCTCAACCAAGAACAACCCAATTCTGGCTCAAATTGCATCATTAATTAACACAAAATGAGATGAAACTCTATAAGAATCTCCACAATTTCCATATTCTCACCATGTAAATAAACAAATTTTTCCATCATTTTCTTATCTAGATTACAATAATGCAAACAACATTACTTCGGATAAATCGCATAATTAAAGATTCTTCATCAGAAAAAAATGTTTAAATTGCTTCCTACTGTTTCCATCACACGATTCTCTTCCAATCATCATCAACAAACAGGTTGTGTTTTAAAGAAGGGAATTTTCGGAACACTAAATTCATCATTAATTGGAGGAAGAAATTACTCTTCAATAATTCATGAAACGAAGGAGGAAATAATCAAGCCTTTTGCTTTACCATTCTCTGTTCTGACAAAGGCTCATCCATCATCATTGGTATCCTTCGAGAATAATATTAAACACATGAGAGGAATTAATTTGTTTTCCGATGAGAATCATAATGCCTTCACTGAGGTAATTGCTCAGGCTGGTCATCATCCAGAAAAGTTGGTAAATCATTTGCAAGTTAATAGACAAGCTCATCCATTGATTTATCCATTTAATCATTCAGAGAGAAATAATGGAAGATTGGTTGTTTGTTTATTGGGTTGGTTGGGATCGAATTGGAAACATGTTGACAAGTTTGTGAATTGGTATGATTATTGTAATATTGAAACTTTGAGTACAATTCCACCAATTTTGTCAACCATTTCACCATCTCATACTCAGACAGTTTGTGAGGAATTTGTCAGACAAATGGAAGAAAAGATTCTGAATCATGAAATGGCTGATAATACCACAATTATTTTCCATGTTTTTAGTGGAAATGGAATTCACATGTTTTCCAGATTGTTAGAAAATGAAAAATTTGTGGATAAATTCCTTCCAAGAACGAAGGGATTTGTCGTTGATTCTGCACCACCAATGTATAATTATGAAAGATTTACCGAGGGATTTGTTGGAGCCATAAAAACAGCAATGGGATCTCGAATGGATAGAAACAAATCTAGAAAAGAAAATGCACCATCCTCCACCGATCAGAAACTCAAAATACTCAAAGAAGAACAAGCTAAAAGCAGAGAATTTTACAAACACTGGTTATTGACACCAGTTGTCTCCTCATTTTTCAAACTCTATTTCAATATGGGAGCTCGAGAACGATTTGAAAGATTGGAACAAACTCTAGTCAACCACACCAAATCCATTCCAAAATTATTTATTTACAGTCATGGAGATGTTCTCATTCCTCATAGTGATATTGATTTTTATCTTTCTAAACATTTTGTTGAGGAACGTTTAGAAAGATTGGCTTATCAACAAGAAAAAGGTCAATCAGGTCCTGAACATGTTTCAGATAAGGAATTTGATGAATGGATCAAGACACACCACCAATCAGAAACTCAATTTTTACTTGATGAACTCGTTTTCCATGATTCTGATCATGTTTACCATTTTAAGGAACATCCAAGAGAATATAGTGAAAGAGTTTTGCGTTTCATTCATTTGAGTTCAAAGAAATAAATCATTTTCAACTTCTCAATATTATTCAGCTGACTATCTTGGTATTAAATATTGAATATTAAATATTATTGTAAAAAAATAAGACAAATCATTACAGTTTTCCATTTCCATGCATTCCACAAAAATGGCGCGAAAAGTAAATGTGGCTCACCTTTCGTTAATAATACAACAAGAATAAAAAATGAGCAACATTGACGATTTGAGTGATGATGATATTGATGTATGTATTTTAGGTTGAAAATCTTGTTGGATTATAACCACATAATATTATATATTTGTTTGTATTATTCATCATGTTGTGCTTTTTTGATCTATTTGGATTAATAATAATTTATAATATTAATAATATCGGATGAAATTTAATTGGTAACGATGAATGTTTTTGCAATTTAATGATGAATCATAATTTATTAATATAGGTACCAACAACAGAAGTCCAAAAGCCAGCCGGTATTGGTTCTCTCTCTGGTCTTGGATTAGCCCTCTCGCAAACAGGAAAGACTCAAAAGGATAAAACTGAAAAGGAACTCTTGGGTGAAGAAGTCACCATCATTTTCCAACTCGAATCAAAGGGTGAATCTAAGAAGCACGTTGTCAACATGGGTCGTCCAGTAGAATGGCTCAAGTTACTCGTTGAAAGAGAATACGGAATTAGCTTTGACTCCCAAAAAATGTTTGTTGGATCTAAGGAGTTGGCCAACTTTTTCAGTTTGGAAGATATCAAGGAAATTATTCCAAAGGCCGAAAATGTTATTATTGTAAAGGAATTGTAAAGAAAATGTATTTATAAATTAAGATATTTACTTCTCACTTGTAAGTGGTTTATAATATTTAGAATATTAGATAACAAATGCATTTGGTAAGCCAGAAATGGAATTTCTCTTATTGTTGGACTGGAGCTTGTTGTTGTTGTTGTGGAGGAGCTTGTTGCTGTTGTTGTTGAGGAGCTTGTTGCTGTTGTGGAATTTGTAAATTCATACCATAGTTCATCATTGCATCCATGTAAGGATCTCCTAATGAAGTCTGACCAGGTTGACTTCCATATTGAGATGGTTGTGTTTGACCTGGGTATCTACCATTAAACACCAAAGGTGAACCAGAAGTTGGAGAACCACCATTAATGGAAACGAAAGGTTGAGGGTTATTGTTATACGTTTGTTGTTGGTAAGGATCATAACCACCTTGTCCATAACTTTGTGGATATTGTTGACCGTATCCTTGTTGAGGATATTGTTGACCATATCCTTGTTGAGGATATCCTTGTTGTGGATATTGTTGACCATATCCTTGTGAGGGTAACCTGTG